GGCATGGCCACGGTGCTGATGTAGATGTCCCGGTGGTTCTCGTCGCTCATCATCATCATGTTCATGAGCATCCCGTTGGCGGAGCGCGTGCTGGGGACAGAGCCAGGGGCCGGCTCAGCCTCAAAGATCGCCCCGCCCACAGCCGAACTCGCCCTGCCCACGGCCCAGCTCACCCCGCCCAGGGCTTGGCTTGCCCCACCTATGGCCCGGCTTGCCCCGCCCACAGTCTGGCTGCTCCCTCCCAGGGCTTGGCCTGCCCCACCCACAGCCCGACTCTCCCCTCCCAGGGCTTGGCTTGCCCCGCCCATGGCCCGGCTCGCCCCGCCCAGGTCTTGGCCTGCCCCGCCCACGGCCCCCTCCTTCCAGTCCACAGGCAGCTCTACCTAGGACCCTCCCCGCCCATGCCCCATCACCCAGACCAGGGTCTCACTTGAAGCCGAACACGATGACCTTGGAGGCATCACTGGGCCACTCGCACACGGTCAGGTACAGGTCGCTGTAGATCTCCTCGTCCTGGAAGAGCCGCACCTGCCGGACCTGACCCCACAGTCGTGGTCAGTGGTGGGGGTCAGGAATGGGCCGCCAGAGGCTGAGCCAGCGCCCTAAAGAGCACCCACCCTGACAGCACACACTGACCCCAAGGCCGGTCCACCCTGAGGTCCGTTTCCTCTGCCTCACGTGTGAGTCTTAAGAGCATTCTCATCTGGGGGGTGGGATAGGGAGATGAGTGGAGGAGTCAAGGGTCAAGGATAAAGCCATTGTAGCAGCCTGCTTGGCCCTAAATAGTTTAAGGGGCGGCAATAGGTGGCCTAGTGGTTAAGGAGCTGGACTCTCACATGGCCAACATTGGTTCGAATCCCAGGCCTCGCAGCTTGAAAATCACACAGGGAGCGTGTGCATATGTGGATGCGGGACAATGGACTATGGCATGGCCATCCCTGGGGGGGGAGGTGCTTTTCATTTTCTCTGTCTCTGGTGAATGCACAAGCCCTATGGCAAAATATTTTTTTAAATAATTAATTAATTTCATTTTTTGGTTTTTGTTTGTTTGTTTTTGAGAGGTTTTTGCTATAGGGCGCGTGCACTCGCAGAGAGACAGAAAGCAAGAAATCACCCCCAGGGGAGATGGCTACACCGCAATCCCTTCTGCGCCCTTCTCGGGATCTTGGACACGCACACACACACACATGCCCGGCGTGAGTTTAAGCCACCAGGTCCGGGACTCGAAGCGCAGTCGACTACATGGGAGTTTAGCGACAGCCATTACGTTAACTGCTGGTCCTTGTTATTATTATTTTTTAATTTGACCAGAGAGAGAGAGACAGAGAGAGGGACAGCGAGAAAGCCACCAAATCCAGGACTTGAACCACGGTCAGCCATGTGGGAATCCAGCACCTTTAGCCACCACACCACCCACCAGCCCCAGCAAAAATCTTAAAAGACAAAAAAGCAAACAAACACCAAACCCCTAACCTGTCCCACCTGGGCCACGTTGTATGGGCCTTATTTCTAGTACTAAGACAGATGAAATCACCCCTATAGCTTGTTATTTTTTCAATGCCAGAGGGCGTGTACACTCGCCAGAGAGAGGAGACAGAGGGAGGAACCACCCTCAGGAGGGATGCCCACACTGCAATCCGCTCAGGATTTTGGGCACGCACACACGTTACATTTCCAGCATGATTTTCAAGCAGCTGGGTCCAGGACTCAAACTGCACCATCGGCCATGTGGGATCCAGCTGCCTTCACCACCACGCCACTGGCTGGGCCTAATTTTCTTTTTAAAGAATTATTTATTTAATTTCATTTATTCATTCATTAATTTTTTTTTGACCAGACACACACAGACACACAGAGAGAAGGAAAGTGAGACGGCAAGCCACCAGGTCCAGGACTCGAACCGTGCCGTGGTAAGCCTCCCTGTTGGGACTGAGGGTGCATGTGCACTGTCCCTGACCTGCCCACCAAGCTCAAGCTCACGGTCCTCCGGCCTCAGCTTCCCAGGTCCTGGGACCATAGGCACACGTCACTGGGCCCGGCTTTCAGGCTAGACTGGGAATTGAACCTGGGCTTCCCATGTGGTCCCAGCCTGCAGAATTGCGCCATTAACAGCTCCCGCCACATGACTGGGCTTATTTACCCATGTTGATCAATAACAGCAGCAATCCCAGGCCAGCAGATGGTAGAGTGGTTAAGGTGGCTGGATCCCACATGGCCAACCTCACAGTTCGAGTCCCAGACCCGGTGGCTTGAAAAACACACCAGGCATTTATGTGTGCACGTATACCCAAATTCCGGAGAGGAGAACGGGGGAGAAGAGATTGTGGTGTGGCCATTCCCCACGGGGTGTGATGTCTCACTTTCCCTCTCTCTAGCGAGTTCACATACCCTATGGCAAAAGTCTAAAGTAAACAAAGAAAAAAACAAACAAACAAACAAAATCAAGGGCCAACAGGTGTCTTAGCAGTTAAGGTGCTGGACTGCGGTTTGTGTCCCAGACCTGGCAACTTAAAACTCATGCCAGGTGTGTGCCGGACCAAAATCCCAAGAGAATGGAGGAGAAGGGATTGTGGCATGGTCATCCCCCCAGAGGGTGATCTCTTGCTCTCTGTCTCTCTGACAAGCGCAGGCGCCCACCAGGTGGTGTGGCAGTGAAGAGTGCTGGACTCCCACATGGCTGACCACAGTTCGAGCCCCGGACTTGGTGGCTTGCTATCTCACTTCCCCTGCCCCCCTCATTCAGGACCTCTCTGGTCAAAGTGAAATAAATAAATGAAATGAAATAATTCTTTAAAAAAAAAACAAACAAAAAAGGGACCAGCAGTTGGCATAATGGCTATGTCGCTGGAATCCCACGTAGTTGACTGTGGTTCGAGTCCCGGACCCAGTGGCTTAAACTCACGCCGGGCGCGTGTGCGTGCATGCCCAAGATCCCGAGAGGAGAATGGAGGAGAAGGGATTGCGGCATGGCCATGCCCCCTGGGGGGGTGATTTCTCGCTTTCTATCTCTTTTTCTTTCTGGCAAGTACATGCGTCCTGTAGCAAAACCCCCTCAAAAAAAAAAAAAACAAACAAACAAACAAAAACCACCAAAGAAACAAAACAGAAACACAGCAATCCCATGGGACCCTGACAAGGCGCCCCCGTGAGCCTCGGCAGGGGCAAGCGACCTGCTGGGGTCACCTGTCTGCGGGGCCAGCCTGGTGCTGGCGCCTGGCACGGGGCGGGCCCAGCCTACCAGCTTGAGCTTGCTGTGGACGTTGAACTCCCACCAGTACAGGTGGTAGATGTAGAAGGAGAAGTCATCGTCCCCGCTGCTGCTGGTGTAGGACAGGACGTAGCGGCCGCACTTAGAGAAGCCCAGGAAGATGTGTCTGGGGGGGACGGAGGAGGCGCAGCGGTCAGCTCAGGAGGAGCCCAGGGACCCCCCTCACCCAGCTGCCGCCCCCACCCTCCCCGGGGCCCCAGCCTCACCCTGCGTAGAGGAAATCCTCATCCACGATGTTCTTGAGGGACACGCAGACCCTGGGCGGCAACTTCCGGAACAGGCGAGGGGAGAGCTGCCCACTGATCTGGGGAAGGGGAGGCCAGGATGCTTCAGGCACCAGCCGGCAGCCCCAGACCCCCGACCCCAAGCAGGGAGGCAAAGCTGGGCACTGGGAGGCCACCTAGACCTCACTCGAGCCCCGCTCTCCACCAGAAACCCGTGCTGCTGCAGTACACCTCATCAGCCTTGGGTCCCACCAGCCTCAGGCCAGGATCACCTCCTCCAGGAAGACTCCCCAGTCACTCTGGCCCCATTGGCTCCCTTCCTGGAGGCTGTGCCATGGCACACTGAGCTGGGGTATCATCAACCCCTAAGGAACCTGCCGTGGGGCTGGACCTGTACTCACTGACCTGTCCCCAATCCCCCAGCCCGCAAGGGGGTCAGGTGTCTCGGGACAGCCCTGGCCTCTGCCCAGGGCCACTTAAAGCTGCTGACCTGATTCCAGCCCCATTGTCCCTTCTCAATCAAATCCCACCTTCCAGTCAACTTCCTTTATCCCTAAAACCTCAACACGGCAGGATCTGGGGGAGACAGACCAGCGACAGCTCGGCACTGGGGGGATCAGAGTACTCTGTCTTCCTGTCCAGACTGAAGGGGGAGGCATAGCCCTACCCTCCAGATCTCGGTCTCAGGGAAGCAGCAGCCCTGTCTGCTAGGCTCAGGCCCATAGGAGGGGGCATATCCGGATCCATGCTAAGGCGGAGCCCAGGCCAAGGAGCTGAGGCCAAGCGCCGGGAGCTCCCAGGCTGAGGGTGAAGACTGTTCCTGCCCAGGGAGTGCCCAGTCAAAAGGGGGAGACACAGCCCTGCCTTCACGAAGCTCCCAATCCCCATCCAGGGAGCCAGTGTCAGGGCAGAAGCGGCTGCTGCCCACTGGATAGAAGATTCATGCCTCTGTCTCCTTCCCCCAGCTCCCAAACGGATGGGGGAGCTATCCCCCTGGCCGTCTGGAAGTTTCCAGTCTGATCGGCAGGCAGAGCCCGGCTCAGGTAGCTCCCCACGCTGCTGGGGAACACCCAGCCCGATGCAGGGAGCTCCCTCCCACTCAGC